GGCACGGTGTGAGGAAGCGAAACTGTCATTTGCCCTGTGGTACCCATTCTATGACTAAACAGGGACTGGGTTGCTAGTCTCTTTATCATCAGCACTAAATTTGCAGGGTTCTTTTTAATAAAAGGAAAGGTTTTCAGGCTGGCTCATTAAACTGAAAAAAAAAACAAAAAACAAGAAAAATAAAAGCCAACTGCTGCTCTCCCATCTATTGCACCACTAGGCATAACCCACTCAGCAAAGGGTGAGCAAATGTCCACCTAATAAGCTTCCCCTTAGCACATTCACTTTATAGGCACCTCGGATATGACTGTCCCAGACAGAGTGATTGTTTTACGTCACCTGATGCTTAGCTTCTTTTCAGAGTTAATGTGAAGAAGACAACACCGCTACATCAGCACTAGCTTAAGAGGTGACGTCTCCATATCACAGACCTTCACCCCAGTTAAAGTTTTGCAACATACCATACCTAATACTAAAAGAGTGGGTTTATTCCAGTGAAATTCTAAGCAGCTGATGACAGGGACCTTATCCTCGACCTCAGATTTGCTGACTGTTCCTATGACTTCCCAGCCTTCTTCAGTTTTAGCCTTAGAAAGAAAACGGGACAAAAAAGAAAAATATGATTCCAGGTTCTTTAAATTCACAAAAACAATACATACACACACAAGCTTTTAGATTTTCAGCACAACCATGTAGCTAATCTACTTTGCTTCTTTTTGTTTGTTCATTTTTTAATACATCTAGGTCTTGTTTACACAAATTATACCAATATAGCTATTCCGGCAAAACTCTGCTACTGTAAAGATAGCTTCTCACAGTTTCAGGGTAACTGCACCTGTAACTCCACCCCCATGGGCCACTCCAGGAGTTCCCAGTCAGGTCTCCAGCCATCCCCTGTCTCTGGGAAGGGACCCTTCTCCCACTCCTTTCTGACCAGGGATTTTTAAGGCTGCACAGCTCCCTGCTGTGATATCCCCAGCAGGCCAGCCTGTTGCTCTTTCCGAGGGCTATGAACAGTGTATTCCCAGCTGTCACAAGTTACCACACAGCTCTTTCCAAGCACACACACATTTTCTAAAAGTAGAAAGAATTACAGAGAAAGCATACAGAAAACAGTAAACAAATTTAAACACACACTAAACATACCAGGAGTTACCCGTCAGTCTTAGGAGGCCCTAGTAGGCCAAAGTCTTTCCAACCCTTCCGCAAGGGTCGGGGTCCCTCTTGTCCGTTTGCTGGATCAGAAAGAAGGCCCTGAGTCAGTTCAAACCCAGCCTTTTAATACCAAAATCCCTTTCTCTGTCTGTTGGTTTCTGGGAAAACCAGTACATGCAAACCTCCCAAGGGGATGGTACCTCTCTGGAGGTGTTTGCAACCTAAGTGATTCACTTTAATAGAACTCCACTGTTTCTGGTTCCTGAGGAGCTGCGGTAACCTTCCCCTCTGGAGTAGAACACATTCATATATAAATTTAACACAATGCCCCCAAACATACTGCAAGGGGTTGCAAATATCTGTCACATAGCTTATACCAGCAAAAAAGTGCTTTTGCTGGCATAACTTATTCCAGTCTGGTGAGCAAAATAAACTATGTTGGCAAAAGGATTTTTTTGCCGCAGTAGCTGCATCTCTGCTAAGATTTCTGCCAGCATTGCTAAGTCCTTAAAAAAAATATCACACCTGTAACCAATACAGCTATGCCTGCAAAACTTTAAGTGTAGACCTAGCTTAAGAAGCCCAAACCAAAATTTTCAAACTTGGGTGCCTAAAATTATGCCCTTAAACATGGAACCTGATTTTCAAACACTCTGAGCACTTTCAGCTCCCAGTGCCCTTATCTAACTAGTGGGCCAATTCTGCTTCCCTTACTCTTGTTGAGTGGCAGTTTAGAAGACTATGAATCCCATTTTGTTTGATAAAATCTCAGTACAGGTGCCTTAATTTGGCCAGGGTCCCTTTAACTAGAAAATCCACTTTAACAAGAGTCAAGTTGCTGTTTCTTGCCAGCTTCATTTCCTGTGAAATCTGCACTTTTTACATTACACTACATTAAATTTACACTCCTGTGATGCCACAGGTTAGACTGACCAATCTGGGTCCAATTAAATGGACTTCAGCAATGGCCCAAAATGTTAATAAATTGAGCTTTATAGTAACACTGTGATTCTTCCAGGTGTTTCAATTAAATATCAATATCTTTTATGTGCTTTTTATCTCACCATCATCCAGAGCTCTGGCGGGAGGGGATGAGGGCTCTGGCTGGGGGTGCAGGCTCTGGGGTGGGGGCGGGGTTTGGGGTGCTGGAGGGAGCTCCAGACTGGGGCCGAGGGGTTCAGAGTGTGGGAGGGGGCTCAGGGCTGGGGCAGAGGGTTGGGGTGTGGGCTCTAGGAGGCAGTTAAGAGTGCGGTAGGGGGTTCCGAGTTGGGAAAGGGAGTTAGGGTGCAGGAGGGGGTGCAGGCTCCGGAGGGAGTTTAGGTGCAGGAGGGGTCTCAGGGCTGGGGCAGGGTGTTGGGGTGCAACAGGATATTTGAGGTGCAGGCCAATGGGAGCTGCGGAGCTGGCGCTCGGGGCAAGGGGAGCGTGTGGAGCCCCCGCAGCCACACCTGCACCTAGAAGCCGGACATGCCGGCTGCTTCCGGGAGCCACGCGGAGCAGGGGCAGGCTGGGAGTGTGCTGGGGTGTGAGTGGCCGGTGTTCGAGGAGGACCGGACTTTTAGCAACCCGGTCAGCGGTACTGACTGGAGCCACCAGGGTCCCTTTTTGACCGGGAGTTCCGGTTGAAAACTGGAAGCCTGGCAACCCTAATGCAAGGATATTTTTTGTTTAAAGAGTCTTTTCAAAGCCTTCTTCCCTCTCTGTAGAGTCATTCATCAGAGGCTTCATTATGGAGCTCAAATCTCCAGATTCGTTTTGTAGCTGCCCCTCCAGCGAGGTGAACACATCCACAGCATTTCAACCCACCCACAGTTTCTCTTTTCCTCTACATTTTAACTGCTGCACAATGCTGCCCTCGTGTGACCAGCCTCTGAGCAGCAGCCTGTAGCGGGTGGTACATAAGACAGAGAAATATTGCACAAACTCAACAGAGGCCTCACAGGGTATGTCTACACTGCAGCTGAGAGCGAGCCTCCCAGCCCAGGGAAGACAGCTAGGCGCTAGCTCCACTCAAGCTAGCGCACTAAAAATAGCAGTGTGGATGTTGCAGCATGGGTGGTAGCACGCACTAGCCGCACAAGTATAAGCTCGTCTGACCCAGTGGATCCATGCTCAGGTGGCTAGCCCATACCACTGCCCGTGCCGCAATGTCCACACAGCTGTTTTTACTGTTCTCCCTTGAGCCCTCCCCAGTGCATCTGTCCACCTGGGCTGGGAGCCTTCCTTCCAGCTGCAGTGCAGACATACTCCCAAAGTCTATCGCAGAGCTGCCTACTTGCTCTGGGCTCAGTGACGTTGCTGCAGCAGTTTCTTTCTCTCAGGCTCCTTAATAACTTCACAAAGATTTTGTGTATCAGCTAACACCCCTTCTTGGGATCTGGTTTATTAATACCAAGTTCTAAAGGAAACAAACCCCCTCCTGAAACTTCTCCTTCAGCAAGCTTGGTCCCTACACTCTAGCCTCTCTAGCTGGTACTGGCTCTGCACTTTCCGAGCCCAGTGCCTGGGAGCTCAGAAGAGTTGTGTAGACCTGCTCACACAATCCTCCTGCTCCCTTTTTAACTTTCCCCTCAGAAAGCCTGATTTAGCTGCATGACCTGCCTGTCATGTGATATTATCATTCTCTCCACCTGTTAAGTGTCACGGGTGGGGCTGGGACCCATCTCCCCTTAAAGGATCAGTCACACTGAGACAGGTGTAGGGTACAAATTTCAAAAGCATCTAAGTGACTCATGAGCCTAAATCTCATTTTTCAAAGTAACTTAAGTCACCGAAAATGGGATTCAGTCGATTTTGAAAACTGTACCCATAAATTACATCAATATTAGATCTGCTCTCTTTGCACATTTAGGGGGATTTTCAGAAGCATGTAAGTGCCACTGACTTTCAATAGGAGTTGTGCTTTTGAAAATTCCCTTAGCCCTTTAAGGGACATTCATTCAAAAGAATTACAAAGTGCTTAGTTCAAAAGCATCAACCCTGACACCATGGAAACAGGTGCCTTTATTCATTTCAGTTTATAAAAATGTTCCTATATGAAGCATTAAGATCTACAACCATTGATACACGGAGAGAGGTACTCACCTGGCCCTGCAATGCATTTATTGCAACTTATTTACTGATTTTAGCCCCCTTAGAAAGCAGACACTGCACAGTCTCCTTTGGCTTGAACCATTGTCCGCAACCCGTGGGGAGTTCTTCCACAGACGCCTTGGACTGAGGCCATTACTGCTAGTCTAAAAACAGTTTGGGATTTTTATCTAGGTAGATTGTAAACTCACTTGGGCAGGAACCATCTTCATGTTACATATTTGTACAGCGCCTAGCACAATGGGGCCTTAATCCCTGATTGGGGTCATAAGCACCAACACAATACAAATAAATAATAAAGTGGCTGAACCAGGTTCTCACCACCGAGGAGAATCAGAATAAGTGGCAGTCCTGTTATTGTTCAGCTAATACATGGTATGGTGGCCTAAAATAAGCAGCTGATAGATATTTATTTATTTTAAATTCCCTTAGCTGTTTAAGGGCTATTCATGCTAAAAGGCTACAAGATCCTTAGTTCAAAAGCATCAACCCAGGCAAGTGCCTTTATTTACTTGATAGATAAAGATACAGCTTATCGCTATAGATAGTAAGTGAAGCTGGGTGTCATTTGTACCTTTGAAAACCTCCATCTCTGTCATCGGGGATATGTGTGTAACAGCTTATAACTATGCACCTAATGCTGTAAAATGGTGATCTCCCCTACTGACAGGCCACGCAATCTAGCTGGTGAGACAGCCTGAAAGTTCTTGGTAAAAGGGCAAAGAAAATAAAAACGGAAAGCTGGGCTCTTCTACCTTCAGAAATCTCTGGAGATTATCTGTGCTGTATACTTCCAAAACCTCCATGGCTCCAGCGCTTGCTTTGCTCACTGTAGGAGTAAGGGGGCAGCTGTCAGTAGAGAAGCCAAGAAAAGTTCCAAGTTAAACAAAGCAAAACAAAAACCCTGAAAAACTGTTTTGCTAGGTCATCCTACTGCCTTCATGACTCACTTTAAATCGGTTTACAAATGATTCTAATCACTGTATAGATGCACTTTCTTATAGGGAATGGGAGGTTTTGACAGGAACACAGGGACGAGGCTGGAGGAGTACTTTTGAGCACAATGAACACCAAGACTAACTAAAAATGGTAATAAAACAAAACTTCTCATCAAACCAAGTTTAAATATCTCTGGCTATCTTTATATGTACCTACTGCACTGGCGACTCCTCCCCGTTGTTAAAAATCTATGTGAATCCTAGCCTTGCATACATGAGACCCTCCTGCCACACACCTGAATCAGCGGGGCTAATCCCCTATTTGCCTCCCTCAGCAGAAGCTGTTCAGAAGAGAGAGGGCAGGGAGAAGTGAGCATCCCTCCCATTATCACTGGCCTCACAAGGCTTCTACACTGTCCTCCTTAAAATCTCTCCTTAAAACTACCTCTGCTGTGATGCCTACAATGCAATAGTTAGGCTGCTGGTCTGCTGGGACCATTGCTCATCACCCCGCTCATAATCTTCTCGCTATTCCCTTGTGCTCCCCATGTCTGTCCATTTCCACCTGTTGTTTCTCATTTTATACTTAGATTGTACTTTCTTTAGGGCAGGGATTATCTTTATGGTATCTGCATGTCCAGTGCCTAGCACAGTGGCACCCTACTCCCTGACTGAGGCCTCTGGGTGCAACCTTAATAGTTCTACTACAAAATAATCATATTCCCTCTGCATTAAAAGATACCTCCAAAAAACACACACAGTGGTGGACTTGCTCAGCAAGTGATATTGATCAGAAAAGCACAGCTCAGAGGTGCAAGAATGCATTAATCCCTGGAGTGAGAACAGCAGGGACCAGGCCAAATCTTGCAATCGTGCAAGCAGCAGTCTTGCACTTTTGAATCTAGAGGCAGAGGGACTAGAATAAACGTACCGTGGAAGGAAAGAAAGAAAAAAACCTAGGGTAGTAAAGAATTCAGGGCTCTTCTGACTAGCAGCACCTGTGCTTTTTTAAACAGATTATACACTGCCCTTAGGAGCTACGGACACCTGGCAATCTGCACGTGTGTGTGTGTTTGTGCACAGCACAGAACTGTGAGCATGCTTACAAATCTCTTTGCATCCCAAGAGATCCCATCTCTCTAGCTATCTTGAGGTTCTATACTGCTGCCCATCACCACAGTAGCTGAATGCCTTCCCTCTAAAATCAGTAGCAATAGTCTTCTCCCTAGCAGACTTCAAGGGGGCTCCAGCTCTGTTTCAGGGCAAAACTCTACTTGGGGGTACAGGTTTTCAATTTTTTCGGTAGCATCTTGGGGTAGAAAGCATGTCAGTTCTGTGAGGGTCATTTTTATGATGGAAAGGCCTTCTCAAAGAGGAAAGCTTTGCAAGATTTTCTAAAGATGGTCAAACTCTGGATTCACCCGATGTCCTCTGGGAGTTTGTTCCATAGCCAGATCCCCTCGACCGAGAATGCTTCGTCCCCACCTCTCACACACTTTTTCCTGGGCTTTGTGATCTGCATTGACCCAAAGGAGCGCAGCTGTCATGGTAGTGAACAAATCAAAATTGATGTAGCTGGGGCATGATTAATTGCTTTGAAACCCTCAGTAGCTCAAACATATACACACACCCTATAAAAGGATATGGCCATCCACTTCTGGGGTGGAACATGGCAGCTCAAAAATTTAAGACCGAAAGTGAAGAAGGCAACATCCAGCTGAAACTACAAGGTAGGCAGGAGGCAACAACCTGAGCTGGAATGCATCCAGAGTGGTGGGACTGACTCTTCTATCCTTACAAAAAGGATGATAAAAACTTTAATGCCTATAAAAGGACCTTGGTTTTACCTCTTATTTGAAAGACCGGTGAACTGTTTAGGCAGAGACAACAAAGCAATATTTACTGGAAAAAGGAAATTACTCTTGGCAGCTTGTATAGAATAAGCTCAGAGAAAGGCTCCAGTTCCCTTTATGTGGAGTTAATAGTACAGCACTGGGGGACAGGACAGTTAAGAACATGTGAGCAAATCCTCATTATATCCTGGAGTCCTTCCACATGCAGGATCAAACCCATAGGGTTTGAAAACTTGGACTACAGAAAAAAAATCCCTTAATCTCTCCACAGCTGGAAGGGAATGGCTTTTCGGTCACTGAAATGAATGAGTGCAGAGGGGGCAGTTAGAACGCCAAAGGTTAAGATATGTTTTTAATCCCTTTGCAACTCAGAAACTCCTACAGCAATAAGGGGAAAAAGCAACAATCGGGGATTGCCCAGTGTGCTGGTGGCTACACAACACGCTGTCCAATAGGAAGCAGGGGATTTTCTGATTTTGACTCATCGTCCTGCTGCAGAAGCAGTGAGAGGGCAGTCCAATGGGGAAAGGTGCACCCCCCACCCCTTCCAGCTGAAAAATGGAAACTGCATTAACTGGCTCCTGAGGCAGTTGACTTCAGCAGCCTCAGGTATAGGAGGAGGACTTCAGCAATAAAAGGGGGGAACGCATTTGAAAATGGAGAGATCCAAGAGGAGTTAGCAAACAAAACTTTCCCCACCTTCCATCCCTGAAGGAGCACAGGTTGCTGAAATGAAATCAGCATCTGTCCCAAAGCAGCAGGCAAAGCCGATATCCTAATGCTGCCATTATTTACACAGCACTATCAATTCACAAGGCACTAGACAAAGCAAATAAGAGATCTAGGTCCCTGCCCCAAAGACTTTACAATCTAACAGAAACTAAAACAAAACATGGGACTGCACTGGTGAGAGGAGCATCGTAGGAAGGCCCTGTGGAAAGGAGGGGAATTTAAGAAGGGATTTGAAGGAAAGGGAGGGCACTTGGTAAACAAGAGGTGGGAGCTTTTCCAATTATTGGAGGACTCATAAGTGAAAATCAAAGATTGTAGATGGGGTGAAATAACAATAGTACCACACTCGACCTGCTTTTCATCAGTAGCTCTCAAAGTGCTTTACAAAGGTCAGCATTATTATCCCATTTTACAGGCAAGGAAACTGTACAGGCACAGAGGCGTGAACTGACTTGCCTAAGTCAATCAACTGGCCCAGGGTAGAACTGAAAATAGAAGCCAGGCCTCTCCAGGCCAGTGCTCTATCCACTAAGCCATGCTGCCTCCCATATGCAGAGCTTCAGCAGCCAGCATAGTTTCTATATCTGCTTGGAACATGCTTTGGGGGTCATTTAGGGTAAAAGGAGCTATACAAATATGCAAGATAGTAACATCCTTTGGAAGCCAGCAGTAATGTGAACAGGAAACCCCACCACAGAAGCAAAGCATAAAATTTACCTGTCCTTTCGGCTGGTCACCACTCTGTCAACTCCTAAGAAGTGCGCGGAACGCAGCACTGCACCCAGATTCATAGGATCCTGTATCTGCTCCAGCACCAGCCAAATCAGCTGTGTGCCCAGTCCAGTGGCAACCCCAACATGGGAAGCTTCAGCTTCTTCCAAGCTCCTAAAATGGAGAGGAGTAGCCTCTAAGCAAACTCCCTGGTGGACTTGACCTTTGCAAAGGGCATCCAGCACCTGCCTTCTAACATGGTGCACGGGGACCCCGCAGGCCTTAGCTCGTTGGGCAAACTCTTCCATCACAGGCCGTGCGCAGCTGCTGCCCGACTTGAGGAATAACTTGAAAAAGTCCCTCTTTGACTGCGACAAAGCCAGGGAGCAGGGCGCAATGCCAAACAGGATCTCCGAACCTTTGGTCCTTTCAATGGATGTAGGCTTTGGCACTTGTCTTTTCCGCTCTTTTGAAAAGTCATCCTCTCTCAGGTTCCTAAATTCCTCACTGGAAGATGCAGCCTGCTCAGTGCTTCTCATGTTAGACTTCCACTGCCACCGCAAATTCTTCTGACGGGCGAGACCTTTATAGCTTTTGTGAGGAGGATGTGATTTAGGCATCACTTGTGCAGCATCCCCAAGTCCCGACATTGGAAAATGGTGGCTGCCGTGGTGGTGTGAATTTCCTTCATTCCCAAACCCTGGGGGTGATGCAGATTGCGAGGGCTCCTTCTCCTGAGTTGAAAAATGTTTGACTGCCTGAAAATGACTGTTGCAACTAAAAGTAAATGAAACTCTTGCAGCTTTCCAGATGCTGAACTTAAAGATCGGCACCATCTCCACCACAAAGGCCATTCTACCACTCAGTCTCCTCCCTCGGAACGGCTACCCCTTGAAAAAGGAGATAAAGGGCCAGTTATGCAATATGGGTTAATATCCCACTGATATTTACAATTTTAAAACATGCTTATGATCAGAAAAAAGGACTATTTACAAATGGAAACTTTACACTTAACTTTAACATCTACTCCCTGCCTGTGTTCCAAGTCATAGCTGCTTTTTGCTGACTAAAATAAGTTTTTAATATTAGCCTAATATGCTCATGGGAGAATGAGCTGGATTCCATTCTCGCTCATGCATCACTAATAGAATAAGCTAAATTCAAACTGCAGAATCTTTCACTGATGGTCACATGTAAGCCACAGAAAGTGTCCAGCTTGACTCTCAAAATCTAGTTAAAATACTCTGGGCCAGATTCTGAGCTGGTGGAAACCGGTATAGCATCATTCAAATAGAAGATGCTATGCCCGTTTAAATCAGTTAATGATCTGGTCCTCTATTTCATCACTCCAGCCCTCCTCAAGCTCTGGCCAATAACAATAACTTACAGTCATGGTTAAGAATGTACCCTGCATGATTTTCTTTTAAATACACATCTATTTAATCCAAGCATTTCTGATTGTATCAACAGACTTAAGAAGCCATAGGTTGTGCCATGTCATGTGACAGAGTATTTCATAGATTTGCAATAAAGTTGTCACACTGAGTATTACCTGTCTACATGATATATTACTGATGAACTCCATGAAGGAAATATACATATTTTTTGTGTAAGTATATATATATTTACAGTAATAAACTCAACTGGCAGGACTTGTTCACACTGAATATAGTCTATTTAAGGTTCTTATATGGCCCCCATTGTCATACTGAGCACCTTACAAACTGTAACGTATTTATTGTCACAATACCACCCTGAGGAAGGAAAGTCCTTCTTTCTATTCTGGGCTCTCCGGTTGGCCTACTGGATGACCTTGGCCTAGTCACTTCCCCCTTCCATGCGTCAGTTTCCCCATCTGTAAAATGGGGGCTAATGATAATGACTTCCTTTGTAAAGTGTTTTGAGATCTGATGAAAAGCACTAGATAAGAACTAGCTATTATTATTATTATCCCAGTTTTCCAGATGGGGAAGTGAGGCACAGAGCAGCTAAGTGATGGACTCAGTGTCAAACAGGAAGTTTGTAATAGAGCAGGAACATGAAGCAAGGTTTCCCACGTTCTAGGCTTGTGTCCTAACCACTGGAGCCTCCCCATTCCCCTCTCGGGCATAGCTTTATTAGCCTAATATATTGCTACAGACATAAAAACAATAAGCAGCTGCACCAAGTCTGCATCGATCCTTGCAGCAAAACTTCAGTCATCTTCAAGTGCTTGCCGCTGTTGCAAACCCGAGCACCAAGGCACTCGTCTGCTATCCAGTAGCATTACAGCAGTGGCCCTCAAACTTTTGTACCGGTGACCCCTTTCACACAGCAAGCCACTGAGTGCGAACCCCCCCCCTTATAAATTAAAAACACTTTTTTGCATATTTAACACCATTATAAATGCTGGATGCAAAGCGGGGCCTGGGTGGAGGCGGACAGCTCGCGACCCCCCTATAATAACCTCACCACCCCCCGAGGGGTCCCGACCTCCAGTTTGAGAGCCCCTGGATTACAGGAAGATGGAAACAAACGGCCTCCAGGGGGGAAAGAACTGCGGGTTTTAGGGCTGACAGGGCCGGGACTCCAGGGCTCTCCGTCCAATTCCCAGCTCGGCCTCGGACTTCTTCTGCGGCTCCGGGCAGGTCCTGTGCTCTCTGCCTCGGCTGCGCTGGGCCAAGACACGGGCGGACAGGCAGGAGATGCCCAAGCAGCACGGGGGCCCTGGAAGCAGGGTAGCAACAGGGCTCGTTACGGGGAAAACGAGAACGGGGCCCAGCTCCGGGCTGCGGCGTGGGGCTGTTGTCTACCCGCTGCGAAGCCGGAGGCGGGTGGTGCTGGACCAGCCCAGGAGGGAGACGGGAGTTCTGCGGGGCTGGGAAACCCCGCGGGCCCAGCGCGGAGGAGACAACGCCGCGCCCGCCCCGCCGCGCTGCAGGCGCCTTACCCGCGGGGCTCGGCCGGGGGGCGCGAGCCGGGCCTGCGGCCCTGGGCGGGAAACCCGGGAGGCAGCGCAGCGGGCTGGGGGGAGGGGACCCCCCCCTCAGGGAAGAGGCTCCAGTCTCCCCGGGCTGGGGGAGGGGTCACCCAGACCCCGCCAGCGGGGACCCCTCGCCGGGAGGGCTGAGAACTCAGCAACCTCTTCCCCGCCGCCACCCACTCCCCTACCTCACACTCCACTTCCGGGTCCGCGCGCCAGGCCCCGCCCCTAACCCACCATAGAGAGGAGAGGACAGCGGGGCGCCCTGCCCTGCAGCGCCACCTGCTGGTAGGCGTTGTCCCTTGCGGGGCGTGCCCCGTGGTGGTGGTGTGGGGGGAAGGCCTGGTGGCGTGGGCAGCTGGGTCACTCAGGCTATAGCAGGTCTCGGGGGGGGGGCAGCTGCTGGGCAGGGGGCACCAGCACCAGGGGCTGGAGATCAGCTGCGCCCTGGAGGTTGTCCGGGGGACCAATGCGTCCTGCATGTCCTGCAATGGGCTGGCACAGCCCGAGAGGGCCCCCAAGGTTCTCCCAGGGTGGGGTGACCGTGGGTGTGCCCTGGAGTGGGCCGGCGTGGGCTCTGTGCCCCAGAGAGCGCCATTCCCTGCAGAGAGCCATAGCCCAGAGAAGTGCCCCATAGCCGGCCGGGCGCCTGTGGGACCGGCTGCTGTGCCCGAAGGCTGGGAATAATCATGCTGACGCCAGCAGATGCTCAGGACCCATGGTCAGAATATCCAAGTGAAAACAGCCCCTTGGCAGCGTGCACTGAGAGGAGAGACCTGGCCTGGCACCTGCAGATTTGCCTGCTTTCCCCACTGAGGAAAATCCCACCACCACCACCACACAATCTCATGCTGAGCACAAGCTTTTGACTCCCACCCACCTACTGTGGCTTTAGTTGCACACTAAATGGTTCCACGACCTGAGATATAAGCTTATTTTGTAAAGACGTCATTTATGATGATGATTTTCTATCCTTTAGTGTATGTATTAGTTTGTATTACAGTAACACTTAGAGACCACAACGGAGATCAGAGTCCCCTTGCGCTAGGTGCTTTATAAACACAGTGTCATAGACAGTCTTTGCCCCAAAGAGCTTCCATTCTAAATAGACAAGACAGGTAAAGGGGAGACAGAGGCACAGAGAGGTGAAGTGACTTGCCAAGGTCACGCAGCAGAACTGGGAGTGGTATTTAGGTCTCCAGCTTTGCTGATATTTTCTTGGAAAAACTAACTTCTTGGCAATTATTACTTCCCTTTTCTGTAAAGTGATGCACTTCCTCAGAAATTCCCAAAGACAGCGACCAGCTCTTTATCTGTCCTAGTTTGACAACTTGATTTAATTTCCACAACTGCCAAGTGAACCTTGGGCATGGGAGAGAATGGCCCAAGTTGCTAAAGATGTTTGATTCCTTGGTTGCCAGCAGAGGGAGCTTGGCTACTACTAATGCACAGAAAACCTCCTGATGTACAGTGTTAAAATCCAGTTAGGGTAAAGAGATGCTTGACAAGGCTGACAGCATAAACAAATCTTACAGAGCCAAATTCATCCCAGGTGTAATTCTGTTGGCTTCAGTGAAATCTGGCTCAGGCTTGTGCTTGAAAATGCACATTTAAAAATGCAGCTTCTTTTGCTAATGACCAAACGCCTCAGCTCCTCTCAAAGAAAAAGCTGCAACAGTTCTAAAATGCCAGCTCGGAGGTTGGGCGTGACCTGCTGCTAAAAGCACAGTGATGGTGGATTCAGGTTGCCACTTTTCAGATCTCCGGATTGCCCATGACTTGATACAAGAGAGTATGTTACATGATCTGGTGAGGCTGTGTCATGATGTCAGAAGGCAGTAGCATCACACACTGGTACGATTGGGTGACATAGACCTCATCGACAATACAAAGTTGTACCCTTTAATAAATCAGTGTAGGCAAAGCAGTGGAACCTTCCTCATGTGGGTTCAGTATAAAGGACTATACTGGTATAGCTATTTTCCTACAGCAAGGGGAATAACTATACTATATAATGCAACTTTATAATGGTATAACTCTGCCTAAACTACAGCGTATACTAGGATAAATCACACCCCTAGCAGACATAGTTATATTAGTACAACTTTCAAGTGCAGATCTACCCCTAGTGTCATTTGAGTCATAAAACTGTTACAATATCAGAGGGACTGGCTATTGTGCTATAAGCTGAGATTCCAGGATGTGGGATTGATTGGACAAAATCTAGGCTGTCCCACAAATTCTGTGATACACGGCAGATGTGTGCCCACTACGTGCCATCCTGCTCGCCTGCCAGTTTGCTTTCTCTGGCACTCGAAAGCAATGCACATCCTGCTTTCCGACGCTGAGAAAGCAGTGTGACAGCTGGTTACGTACAGTCACAACCCAGCAAGTCCCTGTGCACAGGATACTTCTACAACAATAATACGTGGACCTTCCATCCAAAGATCCGGTGGAACGTTGAGGAGTGGGATGGGGGTGTGTGTGCGGGAGTTAAGTGTTTCTTTCAATGAGCTGCAAGAGCCTGGAGACAGGTGAAGGGTTTTGCTCTAGATTGCAGTTGTTAATAACTCTTTATAATTCATATGGTCTCATTAGAACATTCCCACAGGAGCCCATGGCCTGCCTGAAGGACTTGCGCCCCCAGTAACAATCACCTTCTAACGAGTGCCCTGTCTGCCTTTCCCTCTAAGGCATGTTGTTTAAATATTACGAGAGGGCGGGGAAGTGACTCCTCCTATCTCTAATAATCAAAGATATTTGAATAAGGCCTTGCAGCAGAGCTTGGTATGTAGAATTAGATTCAACATAGGCAGACAGCACATGGAAGGAGCTGTCCTACAAACACTTGGCCACAGTCCCCCTGCTTGAAAACAGGTTTCAGAGTAGCAGCCGTGTTAGTCTGTATCCGCAAAAAGAAAAGGAGTACTTGTGGCACCTTAGAGACTAACAAATTTCTTTGAGCATAAGCTTTCGTGAGCTACAGCTCACTTCATCAGAAGCAAAGTCCATATTTTTGCTACTCATCCACGCCCCTCTGTTGCGCAGCCAGTGGCCAGCTGTCCTCTCAGCAGTGCTGAGCCCCTATGGTGCCCACACACAGACTGGGAGGATCCATAAAAAGAGACATCCTAGTTTCAGAGCTGCAGACTCACTTTGTTTTCTCCTCCAGGTCAGGAGGTTCTAGAAATAGAAGGAATCTTTGCACGCTGACTGCAGTGTCCTGGGGACATCGCCCTCTGGATTTCTGCTGCAGGAACAGACCAAATCAAACTTTGCTGCTGCCTTCTCCCCCCAGATTGCTTATGATGTTCCGTGCAGTTAAGGCTGAGGCTGCAGCATATAAAGATTACAAATAACCTAGCTGGGCTGAGGGCTGGAAAGGATCCATTCTGTCCTCTGGGATCTGTTTTCTTGATGGTTCTGCCTATGCATTCTTCACAATTGCTTATGCCGCATTCCAAGGCATCTCAGGAGGACATAATACTCCACATTTCTTCATGGTGCCTAGTCAGGGGCAGCTGACATGTTTTCTTATGTTATTTATGTTATATTTATTACATTTGCTATTTCTTTGGTGTGCTGGTGAGAGCCCACCTGTTGGTGAAAATTGTGTCACTCAGGGGTGTGGTTTTTTACACCCCTGAGTGACATAAGTTATACCAGTAAACGTGCTAGTGTAGCCGTACCATAGACACCCATGTCCAGTAGTTAGCCAATGACATGGGACTTCATTTACCCCTCTGTAAAATGAGTAAAATACCATTTATCTAAGTGTCGTGAAGCTTAATTAATGCCTGTAAAGGACTTGATGATGCGAAGAGACACAACCCGGTCTAGAAGAAAAAAACCAGTTCTAATCCTGGCCCTGCCACTGACGGACTTGGCCATCTCTTTTAATCTCTCTGAGTCGCATTTGTTCCATCTGTATTATGGGGATGATACTGCTTGCCTCTCTGGGATGTTTGGAGCATTAGCTCATGTTTGTATAGTACTTTGAACATGGAAAGAGCCGAGTGTTAGTTTTTGTAATAATACACTAGCCGCAGTGTGCATAAAGGAAAATGTACTTTCATTGATTGTGTGTGTTCAGGAACAGCAGCAGCTTGGATGGTGTATGTACACACTTCAGCTCGCAAGCTACTCTTCTGCACCAAGTACTTAGCTACAGATCATCAAAGGCATTTAGGCACCTAACTCCCATTTCCCACTCTCCCACCCCGCAGTGTCCCAGAGCCCAGGCTCCAGCCTGAGTCCAGAAGTTTACACAACAGTGAAACAGCCGCGCAGCCTGGGCCCCGTGACCCTAAGTCAGCTGGCATAGGCTAGCCATGGGGTTTTCTGTGCTGTGTAGACGTATCCCTAGAACAGCAGGTGTGAATGACTGCACAACATAGTTAGAGAAGGTGCTACTTCTATTACACTTTGCCTGTGACCCAGAGACAACACATGCACCACCCAGCTGGAGCAGGGTTGTGACTGAACCAATGGCAAGATAACAGAACAGAGGAAAACAATTCCTTGGCCTCAGCCTCACAATCTGCAGTGTAATAACATATTAGGCGGAATATGGGGCTGGTGGAATTGGAACCCTGCCACTGAGCTCTTCTCTTTACTCCACATAAAATATATTATTGGGGAAGGATAAATGCTCTGTCTCCTTAGGGCAATTCCAGCTGTGATGGGAAGTGCCTGCTTGGGAGCACAGACCTTTCACGCGCCTTGAAATAAATCAGATTTTTTTTCCCTTGGCTTAATTAAATAGCAAAGTGGCTGCAGCAATAATGAAACCTTTTTCTACATAATGAATTTTCTGGCTTTCACCGTCAAGCGTCGGGGGGTGTCAGGAGCTGTCTTCAGACTGCTTGGCTCTGGGCTCCAAGATGCAGAGGCATTCAGGAACAGTCCTACACAGCTGTGCTGCCTAGGCCAGCCCCCAGCTGGTGTAAATCAGCTTTATCTCTATTGATTTCAATGGAGCCCTGCTGATTTACACAGGGAACCTGCCCATGACTCCCCTAAACAGAGCCAACGTTATCTCTCCGCACGTGTACAGTGAACCCCGTACAAGCCACTTTTATTTAGGCAATCTCCTTTCTTAAGAGACTGCCTTCAAAGCCACTGGGCCCACAGCAATGCATCTCCATCCACTTCAGTTCAATACTGTTATTTCTTATGATTC